CAACATACACTATAAATTGAGAATGTTTAAGGACGTTCGATCCTGAGCTTTTGAGTAGATTTTGGTCTTGAGCTTTATTTCTAAAATTCTGCATTATTTTTTAGTTCTAACATTAAATCTGGATTCTACAATGCAAATTATACTATATCCAATGAAAAAACCGCAATTAAATTCCATTCAAATAGGATTAAGCCAGGAACTATATTTTGTGGCGGAAGGTTTTTTAGAAGAAAATGATCATTTTTTCCCTTTTGAAATATATACAGTACTGTTAAGTTTAGATTCCTATTTTTCCATGCTGGTTGCACACAGAGCTATTTTGTGCATTGAAATGTTTAATGCTGGTTCTAAAATATTAATTAAATCAGTTTTTTGTGAATTCTATCATCATATTGTGACAAATATAGAAAATATATTCTGAAACTCCAGGAAAAAATTGAGCCAATTTTATCATAAAATTAACAGTTTTTTAGTAATATCTAAAAAATAACATCATAGACCTCCACTTTTGATTTTCTTTTCTGAATATATAAGATAACTCTGATCAATCTACTTAAATTCAGCAAAAGTTTAAGACTTTAAAATATTTTTCTTGCTTGTTAAATTTTTAATGCCCGAAAAATGACATTTTGTGAGTGCAGAAAGGTCAAATAATTGATTATGCGAAGCAATTTGAAAATTTTTTTTGGTCACAATTTTAATGTGTCTTTTTTAAGAGAGAATAATAGCATACTTTGTCCCATGATTTATTTGGATAAAAAATATTGGAGGGAAAACGTCGAAGATGTTATTTTTGATTAAGACACAAATTCAGTGCAAAAAGGTCATTTTAAATGTACTGTAGCGCCAAAAGAAGCATATTGACCCCCATTTTTTGTTTTGATTTTTAATTAAGCTATGTGTGTAGAAGCTAAAAATATACTTGACAAAAAAAGTTTAAGACTTTAAATATCAGGATCCAACGTTGTTAAATGCTGTTTAAGGGTCTTGGTTCAGGTCCCTTGCTTGCAATATACTGAAGGTACATTGAACAACAGATATGCTGCAGTAACTTAGGACACCTTACCATGTTCAATGTATTGATATTTGCTCCTGTAGGTCTACCCAGTACAAAAACACAGCTGAAGCCATTAATGTCAGCAGTCAGGTGCTTGTTGGAATGTCGAGGGGTGCTGGTTCACATGATCGAACAGCTGGATGATCCTGACATAAGTGATAAAGTCCAGTCAGAGGGGGAAAGCTTGACGGACATATTGGAGTCAAGACTACAGTTTATACTGCTGCAGCTCATCAAGTGCTACAAAACAAACAAATTAAGGTAATTATAGTCAAACCTCATTATCTTGAACTCAATGGGACTTAGTAAAATCTTTTACGGTAGATATCTGAGGATTCGAGATATTGAGGGTAAAGTATTTAAAGAACAAGATGTGTTTGTGAAACAGCAGCAAAGGTTGAAGTTTCTCAAATGCAAGTCAAACTCCAAGGTCAAGACATCAAAAGGTCAAGACGTCAAAAATATTGTTACCCAATGAAAGGTCTTGTCAGAAGGAATTTATATGTGAAAATATAAAAACCCTTGCAGCAACCATTCAGAAATTATGGTCAAATATTATGGTTAAAGTTTTTCAAAAGTAGGTCCTACTCCTAGGTCAAGGTCAAAATGTCAAAAATATTTGTACCCGAGGGAAGGTATTATCACAAAAATACACATGTGAGGTATGAAAGCCCTAGCACTAAGTGTTCAAATGTTTTGGCCAAGGTTAGAGTTTTTAAAAAGTAGGTCAAATTCTATGCAAGGTGGATAGGTCAAAATTCTTGGTACTCAAGGAAAACTCTTTTTACAAGGGATACGTGTGAGAAAAATGAAAGCCCTAGCTCAAACCATTCCAAACTTATGAACAAGGGTAAAATTTTTCAAAAGGTCAAACTCCAAGGTCATATTTGTACCCAAGGGAAGGCCTTAATTATCACAAGGTACACACATATGTGAAAGTCATAGCACCAACCGTTCAAAAGTATATCCAATGTCAAGAGGTCAAATATGTTGGTACCCAAAGAAAGGTCTTGCCACAAGGAATACACATGTGAAATATAAAAAGCCCTAGCTCCAACCAATTAAAAGTTATGGTCAATGTTACAGTTTTTGTGAGCAAACAGACAGAGCAAAAACTGTATGCTCCCAAATCTTCAATTATGGGGACAAAAATTACTTCAGACTTCCAAAGCACTTCAACATATCAATGGTATTCAAGATATCTATGTTTGAGATACCAAAGTTTAACTGTTTATACATTGTAACATCATCATGAAACTTGAAAACAAATATTTATCACAGCAAGATATACATGTACATGTATATATTAGACAGAGATTCTATGGTCCATCCACATTTAAAATTGACTTTTATGCCAAGAAATTCCAGAATTCTATATGTACCAAACGGGACATATTTCACTTGGTAATGTGAGCAAATTCTTCATACAACACAGTATGTAGAGTGTATTTTACCCACATTTTATCTGTTTGTTGCTGCAGATATAATTAATCTTTGACAGTTTCTTGCATCAATCAGAAATAGTTGTTGACCTCAGTGGAATGAATATGAAAAATTGAAGTCTTTAAGAAAACTTTATCAGTTTAATATTACAAAAACATGGTACATGCATATTGTATCTGAAAAGGCTTAGTAAGAGAACCTTGAGATCATGATTTTTTAGCTCACCTGAGCTGAAAGCTCAAGTGAGCTTTTCTGATCACCCGTTGTCCGTCGTCTGTCCGTCTGTAAACTTTTCACATTTTCAACTTCTTTTCAAGAACCACTGGGCCAATTTTAACCAAACTTGGTACAAAACATCCTTGGGTGAAAATGAGTTTAAATTGTTAAAATAAAGGGCCAATCCCCCTTCCAAGGGGAGATAATCAAGAAAAGACAAAAATAGGGTGGGGTTATCAAAAAACCTTCTCAAGAATCACTGGACCAGAAAAGCTGAAACTTATGTGGAAGCATCCTGGGGTAGTGTAGATTCTAAATTGTTCAAATCATGACCCCCGGGGGTAGGGCGGGGCCATAATAAGTACTACGGGGAGGGGGGGGGGAATCAGGTGAAAAACAGCAAGGCTAAAGTTACGCAGGTGAGCGTTGTGGCCCATGGGCCTCTTGTTTAAGGTATTGTGCCAAAAATAGCCCTATAATCATGTCAAATAAGTACTGTTAAGTATTTAAACATTACTGGATTTATAAGTATCAGTATTTAAGGATTGAAACGACTTTGGCCTTTTTTGAAGAGTTTTCTCCCTTTGTTTACATTTATGAATTTAAGAAATCTTTCCAGAAAAATAATCTTTTTCAACTGAAATGTTATTCTTAACAATACATCTTTTCACCATTACATTTGTTTGTATTCTTAGTATTGTTCAAATTTTTATTTTTGAAAATTAGCCTTACATAGACCTGAATGCAATCTTCATTAATTAATTATGTTACTACGTAGGTAATCATTTTACTGAGAGTTTTTTTCTTGGTAAACCCTTTTACTCTAAATGCATTAGATGAATGCCAAAGTTGTTTTTGTATCAGGTGGATATTTATTGCTTAAGAATTATGTCCAATTAGGGGTGAAATACCTCAGTTTCATTACCACACTATGATTTGAATGTTCAATAGTAGTATTGTGTATTGTGTACTGGAGAAATATGTACTTTGAATTCTTAAGTTTATATGAATGTTATTACAGTCAAACTTCATTGTTTCAAACTTGATGGGACCAAGAAAAAATTCAAAATATCCAGGCATTCAAGATACTGGGGTTAAAATACATAGAGAAAAAGTTAGTTGGGACTTCCAACTGACTTCGAGATATCCATGGTACTTGAGATATTGGTGTTTGAGATATCGAAGTTCAACTGTATATTATTGTTAGAGCCATATTCATGACTTAAAAATATATTTACATAAAAATTGCTTTCTATTTCAGTAAACATAGTAATATTTTGAAAACAAAGGCACTCTATAGAAAAAGCCTAGAAAACAAAGATCCCACAAAATCATCTCCGATGAAGAGTCGCTGGAGCCATCTTGTCCAGTTATTAGAAGAACTTCAGTCTCTCAAACCAGAATCTGAGTTTACATGAACCTTTGGTGTCAGAAGAATTGTTTGCTAGGAGTGGAGGGTTGTCAACTTTTCAACAAAATTAGGAGACAGAATTATATGGCTGTTTAAGAACTTCAGCATCAAATATTAATATTTTTTTAATAGAACTGTGATTTTCTTTTACATATACAGTGTTCCATTTGACATACTTTATGACATCATGGATCTAAATAAATAAAAATATGAACTATATTTTTGTCTTCATTGGATATGCAGGGCTGTGGGAAGCAATTATATCAGTTGGGAGGGGGGGGGGGATTTTCAGCAACTTTGTTTTCTATTTTGTAATATACATGTATATATAAACAAAGTTTTAAAATATAACTACATTCTTTCCACTTGAAAAGCAAACAAATTTCATGACAGGTTAAAAAAAAGGAAAGAAAAAGGTCATCATGCATTATTATTCAGTGGTGCACAACCATAAAGCAACTGTTTTCTATTTTTAGGTCACCTGAGTCACTCAGGTGACCTATTGCTATCCGTTCTCGTCCGTCGTCGTGCGTTAACATTTGAACATTTTTAGCTTCTTCTCTGAAACCGCTTAACCAATTTCAACCAAATTTGGCATATAGCATCTATGGGTGAAGGGGAACAAAAATTGTGAATTTCATGGTCCCTGCCCCCCTGGGGCCTGAGGGGTGGGGCTAAAACCACCAAAAATAATGCAATCTTTAAAAATCTTCTTCTTTACTCCTGCACATCAAGCAGTCAAACTGTTGGCATCATTGTAATAAGCATTGAGCCCTCTACCAAAATTGTGAAATTCATGGCCCCAGGGTCAGGGGTTCTGGCCCCAGGGTGGAGCTATATAGATCATATAGTGAAAGTGCATTATTTCTTTGAAAATCTTCTTCTCTGCTCCTGGGTATTAAATTAAGTAACTAAGTACATAGTTATGATGAGCAAGAGAGCCTCTTCCAAAATTGTGAAATTCATGGCCCCAGGGTCAGGGGTTCTGGTGTTAGGGCGGGGCTCTATTGATTATATAGTGAAAATGCATTAATTCTTTGAAAATCTTCTTCTCTGCTCCTGGGTATTAAATAAAGTAACTAAGTACATAGTTATGATGAGGAAGAGTGCCTCTTCCAAAATTGTGAAATTCATGGCCCCAGGGTCAGGGGTTCTGGCCCCAGGGTGGGGCTATATAAATCATATAGTGAAAGTGCATTATTTCTTTGAAAATCTTCTTCTCTGCTCCTGGGTATTAAATAAGGTAACTAAGTACATAGTTATGATGAGGAAGAGTGCCTCTTCCAAAATTGTGAATTTCATGGCCCCAGGGTCAGGGGTTCTGGTGTAAGGGCGGAGCTCTATTGATTATATAGTGAAAATGCATTAATTCTTTGAAAATATTCATCTCTGCTCCTGGGTATTAAATAAAGTAACTAAGTACATAGTTATGATGAGCAAGAGTGCCTCTTTCAAAATTGTGAAATTCATGGCCCCAGAGTCAGGGGTTCTGGTGTTAGGGGGGGGGGGGGGCTCTATAGATTATATAGTGAAAAAGCATTAATTCTTTAAAAATCTTCTTCTCTGCCCATGGGTATTAAGTAAAGTAACTAAGTACATAGTTATGATGAGCAAGAGAGCCTCTTCCAAAATTGTGAAATTCATGGCCCCAGGGTCAGGGGTTCTGGTGTTAGGGCGGGGCTCTATTGATTATATAGTGAAAATGCATTAATTCTTTGAAAATCTTCTTCTCTGCTCCTGGGTATTAAATAAAGTAACTAAGTACATAGTTATGATGAGGAAGAGTGCCTCTTCCAAAATTGTGAAATTCATGGCCCCAGGGTCAGGGGTTCTGGCCCCAGGGTGGGGCTATATAAATCATATAGTGAAAGTGCATTATTTCTTTGAAAATCTTCTTCTCTGCTCCTGGGTATTAAATTAAGTAACTAAGTACATAGTTATGATGAGCAAGAGAGCCTCTTCCAAAATTGTGAAATTCATGGCCCCAGGGTCAGGGGTTCTGGTGTTAGGGCGGGGCTCTATTGATTATATAGTGAAAATGCATTAATTCTTTGAAAATCTTCTTCTCTGCTCCTGGGTATTAAATAAAGTAACTAAGTACATAGTTATGATGAGGAAGAGAGCCTCTTCCAAAATTGTGAAATTCATGGCCCCAGGGTCAGGGGTTCTGGCCCCAGGGTGGGGCTATATAGATCATATAGTGAAAGTGCATTATTTCTTTGAAAATCTTCTTCTCTGCTCCTGGGTATTAAATTAAGTAACTAAGTACATAGTTATGATGAGCAAGAGAGCCTCTTCCAAAATTGTGAAATTCATGGCCCCAGGGTCAGGGGTTCTGGTGTTAGGGCGGGGCTCTATTGATTATATAGTGAAAATGCATTAATTCTTTGAAAATCTTCTTCTCTGCTCCTGGGTATTAAATAAAGTAACTAAGTACATAGTTATGATGAGGAAGAGTGCCTCTTCCAAAATTGTGAAATTCATGGCCCCAGGGTCAGGGGTTCTGGCCCCAGGGTGGGGCTATATAAATCGTATAGTGAAAGTGCATTATTTCTTTGAAAATCTTCTTCTCTGCTCCTGGGTATTAAATAAGGTAACTAAGTACATAGTTATGATGAGGAAGAGTGCCTCTTCCAAAATTGTGAATTTCATGGCCCCAGGGTCAGGGGTTCTGGTGTAAGGGCGGAGCTCTATTGATTATATAGTGAAAATGCATTAATTCTTTGAAAATATTCATCTCTGCTCCTGGGTATTAAATAAAGTAACTAAGTACATAGTTATGATGAGCAAGAGTGCCTCTTTCAAAATTGTGAAATTCATGGCCCCAGAGTCAGGGGTTCTGGTGTTAGGGGGGGGGGGGGGCTCTATAGATTATATAGTGAAAAAGCATTAATTCTTTAAAAATCTTCTTCTCTGCCCATGGGTATTAAGTAAAGTAACTAAGTACATAGTTATGATGAGCAAGAGTGCCTCTTCCAAAATTGTGAATGTCATGGCCCCAGGGTCAGGGGTTCTGGTGTTAGGGTGGGGCTCTATTGATTATATAGTGAAAGTGCATTATTTCTTTGAAAATCTTCTTCTCTGCTACTGGAGATTATTTAAACAAACTAAGTACATGGTTATGATCCATAAGGATGCCTTTTTAAAAATTGTGAAATTCATGGCCTCAGGGTCAGGGGTTCTGGTGTTAGGGCGGGGCTCTATTGATTATATAGTGAAAATGCATTGATTCTATGAAAATCTTCTTCTTTGCTACTGGAGATTATTTAAACAAACTACGTGCATGATTATGATACGCAAGGATGCCTCTTCCAAAATTTTTAAATACATGGCCTCAGTTTTTGGGGTTCTTGAGGAGGGGGGCAGGGGGGCTCTATTGATTATATAGTTAAAATGCATTAATTCTATTAATTAATCATTAACTTATCCTGTATGCTCCCTAGTGTTGAGCTGATAAATAAATTGCTTAGCTATGATGAAGATGGGAGCTTTGAACAGAATTTTTAAATCTTGTGGTCCTAGGGTCAGGGGTTCTGGCATAACGAGGAAGGGGGGGGGGCTTTTGATAATATAGTGGAAAAGTGTTAATTCTTTGAAGTCCATAGTTATGATGATGAGGGTAACTCTTCCAAATTTGTAAATTTTTGACCTTTGGTCTTGGGTTCTGGTGTTAGGGTAAGGCTTTGTTGAATCTGTAGTGAAAATGCATTGTACCTGTGAAATTCTTCTCTGCTTCTGGGCATATCGAAAGCAAACTGAGTAAAAGTTTAAATGATATAAGTAAGCGTATTTCTACCAGATGTTTGAACATCTGGACAATTCGTCTAAGCATTCTGGTCCTGGGCAGGGCTCTATTAATTTGTATTCTACTGAGAGAAGTTATTCCCCTTTTCCATTCATCTTTGATAATTAATCACTGTAAATAATGTTTTTGAAAGGTTAATAGAATAAGATAATTATGCAAGAATGTTTATTGTATAATTCAAAAAGTACTTTCTTAGTTTTAATAATCAGGTAGACCTGTAAGTAATAGATAAATAAAAACGAGACAAAAATAACTTATCTTATTAAAAGTTCTTCAAAGACCATAAGAGAGGTCAATGCTAGAGGTCTTAATATGGGTTTAAAAATAATACAGAAGCACTAATAGTTTGTTAATAGTCTGCATGGTGATAATATTAAGTGGGGGACAGATTAGAACTTAACTTATGAGTTGATACTGAATACTAGACTAATTATTTTGTTGATCCTGATCTTCCTACATCTCTTGCTTTAGGGCAACAAAGCTTCATCTGTCAGTGTATTTAACTTCTAAATTGTTGTATTATACTCAGGTGACCATTAAGGACCTTGGGCCTCTTGTATCATATACATGTATATATAAGCAAAGTTTTATATAACTACATTCTTTCCACTTGAAAAGCAAACATAAATGATATTTTTATTTCATATAATTTCTGTAATCATCGGTTAATGGATTTCAGCTGTAAGTTAAGCTAAAAATATTTATTTCATTGGGCATGTAATTTTTAGATCACTGGAGACAAAGGCTCAAGTGTGCTTTTCTTACCAAAATTTGTTGATTGTCAGTGGCTGCATCATAAACAATTTCATCTTCTTCTCTAGAACCACTTGGCTGATTTCAACCAAATTTGCCACAAACAATTAACATCCTTGGGTAAAGGGGAATAACATTTGTTCACATGAAGGGCCACACTCTCTTTCAAGGGGAGATAATTAAGGATTAGTGTAAACATAATGGAATCTTTTAAAAATCTGAGAAGGAACCACTGGGTCAGAAAACATGAAACTTATGTGAAAGCATCATAAGGGAGAGGGCTAAAATAGGCTGAGCCTGCTGCCCAATCCTATTCACTCTTACATCTGTGAATAAAATATTGTTTAAATTAAAGCATCATTACATAGTTTAGATTCAAGTTTATTCAAGTCGTGACCCACTGGGGCAGGGTGGGACCACAACAGGGTCCACAGAAATATATAAGAAATGTCTTTAAGGAATAGCAAAGCCATGATGAATCATATTTATTCAGAAGCAAACTCAGTTAGTGTAGATTCAAGTTAGTTCAAAACATGCCCTCCCCCCCCCCCCCCCCCCCCCCGGGTAGGGTGGGGCCACAACAGGTGATCAAACCAAAGCTATACACAGGAATATAAGGAAATATCTTTTAAACTTTCTTCGCAAGTTCAGGAAATCCA